TTCCCCGACCAGTGTTCATGGTGGCTGGTGAAAATGCTTTCCAGACGATCGTTTCACAGATATTCGTTGCGATGAACAACGAAATACCCGAGCCAAGGCCATAACCTTTCTGTAATAATGCTCAAATTGATAATTCTGTGACAATCGAACGTTACTGATATTTCATCCCTTCGCCTAATAAATTGCAAAAAATCATTCAACAAAAATCATATTTCGATGATTTTCATCATCAGTTTCACAATAAACAAAGATTTTAAAAAGAACCTGAAGTAATTCATCCAGAAGTAAAACAATCAAGCCAGCAACAACAAGCTGTATAACGATGAGTAGACAGATTCCAGCACCGATTTCTGACGGATCACCATACAGACCAGATGCCACGTAAACGATCGCTTGTCCCACAGTTATCACCATACCAAACACTGGAATCACTCATCAGTTAACGACTCAGATAGTCGGTCGCTGCGGATCGGTTATATAAAATGCGGGCAGCATTCACTAATAATGCTCAACTTAATAAACGAGACTTTGACGTTTCATTTAGAATAGTTCGTTGTGCGTATGGCAGTGAGCTCGGTGACATTTTCATGAAGGAAAATCTGTGTACTAATTCTTCATAAACTGAAGAATTATTTAATTTATGAAGAAATTTCTATTTGTCTCCCTTTTCACAATTTTTTGAAAAGTACACATATAACGATCTGAACAATAATACTGAAATACAAACATTTTTGTGCTCCATTGAAAAGTGCTCTTTCCTTGGGGGTATCACCCACTTCAATGATTTTTGCACCAGCTAGTAACTGCATAATAAGTCCTGATGTAACAATCGGTGATATACCCAACTCCATAAGTGTACCTCTGTTAGAGGCCAAAATTACTCGAAGCCAGTAGAATGGATCGGCACTATCAGTTGACATTATTCCTGCAATTTAGTATATCTTTCACTTAATCATCAATTAATAATTAGCCTTTTACAATTGAAATAATCAAAGATAACTAGGATCTTTATGAAAAAACAAAACAGTGGTTATAGAAAGCGAGAACGTTTATATCATATCAGCGGTGTAGAATGCTAATTTTATGCATGAAAAAAACGAGATTCATATGCTGTTCAATTTAGCTGAATAATCTAATCTTCAGCTGAGTGAACAATTAACATTTTTCTACGGTAACTATCTGAATTTTTGATTTCTCTCCATCTGCTTTCACTTTAAAAAAATTACAGCACACGGCCGTCATTCAACAATACAGATACCAAACACAATGGTTTTGAACAACAAATGAATCACACCGATAAAAATTCAACAAATCAGCTTACCAAAAAGGGGTATTTGACAACAGACAAGGAAAACGAATAAAGTTATCGCTGTCCAAAGCATCTTTTCACGGAACTGAATTTTTCGTTCCGGTTTCGACACCTCCGGCACGAAGCCACAAAAGGGCTTCACGAATTCGAGGAATTTTACTAAAAAAAGAGCAGATTGAAGAACGGATAACAAATGAAATGAAAATGTAAAGAAACCAATAAATCGTTTAAAATTTCATCAAAACAAACAGAGTACTTGCTAGATAATACGCTCTTTAAAAAGTGAAAAAATGACCAAGCCTCGCAATGATCACATCATAAATTTGTATTCAATATAATAACTGCAAATTAAACTTACTTCCCATCGCCGGTACCTTCTCGAAACAAATATGCTCCTTGAAAACGAATTACCAACAAACGTCACAACCCTTTACGATGTGCAATATAATGAGGCAACAACGGCAGATAACCACGCCTCGGTGAACACTTCTATATGTATTTAGCCGACGCTCTTGCGCCACCAATGCGACCGGCCTTCAGCTACCGTAACCCAACGGCACGATTTCAAAGTTTTCCTGGAAACCGTTGAATTTTTACCTCGTTTGGATTCTATGGCTTTCGAGTCACTCAGATTGAGTTCAAGTGGGTTTTCCATCTTTAATTACTCTACGATCTAACTATTTTTTCGAGTTTAAAGCTAAAATATTGTTTGAATTGAGATTGAAGTTCGTCACAAAACTGCAAATATTTTACCACGATATTTACGCGCGAACTCAAATTCTGTGATATTTTTAATCACTCAATATTTTGAACAGTACGCTTCGACATAGGCTTCAATTTTTGGTTAGGATCAGGATTAGCTTAGAAAACAGGATAATTGGACGACGAATTGTGAAAGTCGTTCCTACTGTAATGAAATTAATTCGTCTACGTTTGGTCTTGAGTAGAGAACGTTTCGAAGGGCAATGAAATGATTTCAAAGTAACCAGTTAAACCATAATTCACCGTGTAATTTCACTTTTGTTTTATCAATGTTCTCTGTGATTAAGAAATTATCGTGAATAATGTGTTGAATCGTATTCTACGAATTGTTGTGAAACTGAACGTCAACGATCTGATCGTCGATATCAGTGAATAATTTATTGTTGGGATGATAACACCGTAGTGATTTTGATAACGATTAGAAAGATGTTTTTGAAGTAATTATTTAGTGTATAAAAGAATATCATTTTAGTGAAACCTCTCAATTAATTACTGTTCAAGGTGACAATGTCTGATGCGACATCATCATTCAACGATACAACATCAATGCACAAAAGTATACTGTTCGTATGTCTAGGTATTCATTATTCAATGCTTTTTCTTTATATTGCTTTATTGCGAAGGATTCATTACTCATTTTGAAAGGAGACAGTAGGCGATCACGGTTGTGATATTGCAGGTAATATTTGCCGTTCGCCAATGGCCGAAGCGATTTTTGCAAATATGATAAAAAATAGAGGATTACTCGATAAATGGAGAGTTGAAAGTGCTGCAGTGATTGATTATCATGTAGGTAGACAACCAGATAAAAGAACACTTGAAACACTCCAAAAATTTGGTATCAACGACTACAAACACAAAGCACGACAGGTCGCTTACTCATATAATGGATACGTTGTCTTGCACACGAATATTTTAGATGAAAACTTAATCCAAGAATATCTATTTTCGAATATTGTTGATAGCGAAATTAAACACTATTATTAACAACAACGTTTCAGCGTAAAACGCCAGCATCAGGCGTGAACTGAACTATGCAGTCACCCTGATGACGGCATTTTACGTTCGGTTATTGATAATACTGTTTAATATCGTTATCAGCAATATTCGAAAATAAATATTCCTTTATTTAGTTTTCGTTTCAAATATTCCTGCATAAGAAAACGTATGTCACTTATTGTTACTTCTGTTCCGTACATAAAAGTTATTCTATCCATTGAGTTGTTTCGTACAACTCGAAAACGACGACACCAGTTTTTTAGAAACTTTTACGGTTCGATATAGCTCAACTTCCGAATGATTTGCATATTAAAAACAATTCTCTATGACCCTCTCGTTGTAAAAAAATCTCAATACGATTTAATTTGGCGCAGTGTATGTAAATTCAAATGTTGACTTTTGCATATTCAAATCTATGCAAATTTTGCACTTTGTGCAAATCGGAAGAATCTATCTTTTCGAGATCTCATTCAACAATTAGCGACTGCGGTTCTCCAAAATTGATAGAGATTCAATTGTGAATGTTATTTCGCATCGATTAAATTCACAGTGGGACAACCAAGTTATCAAGCTGGCCAATGGATGCCTGTTTAAGATGTTCAGCCGACCGGGTCAGCGAACTGTCACACCGATACGTTCGACCCGGTCGATGAATGAGTTAAAATGAAAGCTTGTTTTAGGTTACAACAGAGGATTTCCGCAATTTCGATTTCATTATGGGTATGGACGAGCATAACATTGTGTATGTTTCAAGATATGATGTTACCATTGCCGCAAAGAATCCTTGAAAATATAGTCATTATCTTCATTCGAACCTTTTCTTTTCCGAAATTGACTTCAGTTGGGAAGCTGAATTGAGGTTAGTGGTGGTGCAACATGACAATCGATGAGGAAGTGGGAGATGAAAACTTGAAGTAGAACTGAATTGGACCATATATTTGCTGTCATATACTACATTGAAACTGTATTGGAATATTCAGAGATTTGAAAGAGATCGAAAAATTAGCCGGAAATGGTAAAGCTTCAGTGGAAATGTTTGGTATTTATGACCCCAACGGTGCAAATGAAATACCAGATCCTTATTACGAAAAGGGTGTTGGAGCTTTTGAAAAGGTTAATTTGATGTGTTTTCATTTCGTTGTCATCAAATATAGCACTTTGTATGAGGAACTCCCGGATATTAATTATTTGAAGTTACTGATGAAGTAAATCGATATCTTGAATGAGTGCTTATAAATGTATCACTTTGAATTCTTGAAGTTATTTTCATTCATGTACTATGATCCTGTTAATTACATTTCTCTCTAAAATCGAACTTTTAAAAGTTAATTGAAATTAAATTTTCCTAAATCGAAATTCAACCGTTGCAACTGTCATATATTCTTGTGATGTCCTAACGCCCAATCCTGTTTGATACCCTAACAATTCTCATTCATTAGCTCACAATGTATTCTTTTTTTTCGTTGATAGAGCAATGAATTGATTCACTTATCATTTGAATTTAAGGTATTTGAACAATTGTCACGGTGCTGCACAACATTTCTGGACAAAACTAACTAATTGGGTATGTTCTTCACCAAATATATCTCTTAAACTTCATCGTTTTTTAACGCCTAAGTCAGGTCGAAAATTCGAATTGTGAGTCAAATCGTAATTTGGAATCAGAATTACATTTTTTGATTTTCGAAATATCTCG